TAATCACCCTGACAATATTGGGGGAGGAGTACAGATTTTTAAGCTCGTCATTGTGCAGTTTTCTCCACGCCCCATCGTCTTCCCTCTTAGGCCCAAATATCCTCCTCAACACCCGATTCTCAAACACCTGCAATCTGTGTTCCTCCCTCTGAGTGAGAGACCATGTTTCGCACCCATACAAAACAACAGGCAAGATTATTGTTTTGTATACTTTAATTTTCAGGTTCTTAGAAATCAGACGGGAAGACAAAATATTTTGGACTGAGAAGTAGCAAGCATTTCCGGAATTTAGTCTCCTCCTACCTTCCTCACAAGTATCATTTTGATTTGTTATTGTTGTTCCCAGATATTTGAACTTTGTAACCCTTTCAAAGTACTTATTAGCTACCCTAAGATAATTTCGCTCGCCTGTCTGCTGACGACGAGATACTACCATGTACTTAGTTTTTTTCTGAATTTACTTCTAACCCCACCTGTCTACTAGCCTCTAGTAAAACTTCTGCGTTCCTCTTTATTGTATTTATATCGTCCCCCAATAAATTACCATCATCAGCATATGCCAATAGCTGATGTGTCCCGTTCAATTGCAAACCCTCCTGCCTACCTTGGACCTTCCTGATGGCGTATTCTAGCGCAAAGTTAAAGAGCAAGGGAGACAAAGCATCTCCTTGTTTTAGACCGTTCTTGATGAGGAATGTCTCAGATACATAAAATGAATTCTTCTAAATTTTAAAATTATATAAATAATTAACTCAATATAAATTACTTATATAATACATCCTTAAGTTTTCAGCATCATAACTCTATTAAAAATGTGTCTTTCCTTCCTCTGTGCACAGACCACAAATTGCTTCAGATTTCTGAACATTTTGGTGGCCACAGGAACGCTTTTCTGTACAAAAGCAGATTACTGCAAAGCACATCCTGTCAAATATTAATGAGCATGTTGTGAGATGAAAACTAAAGATCTTAACAAAATATACCCAGACTGCACATTATGAATATACACTGCATGTACCAACGTGCCTGTGTTAAGCCAAGGAATGATACAAAGTAAATGAAAACAAATCTACATTCTTGCTTTTGAATTTGATTTATGCATGTTAATAAGTGAGGTGACAAGACTTTATGGACACTCACCGGTATTGTGCTTTCAGGTTCTCTTCAGACAGTATCCCTGCCTTACTAAGGTTTTCCTGGACTGCACTGCTATTGCACATATCCACGGTAAGCCTGGTGCCTGGGTTTGTGTCCCGCTCAGGCACTAGCTGTTCTATGGTGGGATCACCTCTGACAATGCTCTCACTAGTCTTCATCGAGGGAGTGTTAAGGCTGATAGGGGTGGGAGGATTAAACTTGGAGGGAGTGGAACACCCTCGCAGTGAAATAGGAGGAGCGGGACTCTTAGTAGTGCAAGAGCTGAAGGCCTTCTCTTCACTGACCATCTTGTTGACTGGACCCAGTTGTGACTGACACTGCAGGTTGGATGTCCACTGTGAGCAGTAATGGCAAAGGTACTCCTGTGTTCAGTATGACAATTGGACGATTGTGTAAGCGGGTTGAGATTTCAGGTTCTCAACCACTATGGTGACAACTATGAAGATGACCTCTTCTGGGATGCTGTACCTTGTAGAAACTGAGTGGCACTTCAGAGGAGCTTGCCCTGATGATGGAGGCAGCAAGCACCTCTAAAATGTCAGTCAATTTATATCAGACTACATGGTGCAATATCCCAGAAGACGGTCATATTCTGATATGTCAGCTATTGCAGTCACCCAAACATGAATTCCAGATCTTTGCTTTGATAAGAAAGTCAGGGGATGGGTAAGTTTGAGAATAATTTATATTCTAACAGACTAGGACAGTTTGAACATATTAAAAGGATGGACATCTACAACATTCTTCAGTAGATACAGCAAATTAAAATGAATGGAAACACCTACTGGGAAAGATGCTGCACGGAAGGAGTCAGAATGAGTTTTAGGATTTAGAAATGCAACAGGACAGACCCCTGCAGTCATATAATACACAGGAACAGGCTTGATTTTATAAACTAGAAGGTGGAATATATGTCTTAGTACAGACCCCTTACACTGCATTACAACTCACCTGTGTCAGGTCAGCAGGAGGAGGCTGTTGGTATGCACCATAGCCAGCAGATGGCACCATCTCCCTGTTTCCACCCCCAGGTCTGAAAGAAAAAAGACCATACAAGACTCTGCAAAGATTTTGTGGCTCTCTGTTCTGTTACGTGGAATGAGACTTAAATTACACACATAGTCACCATAAAAAAGTACATTCAAGAGGACATCATAGGAGAAAGACTATTTACAGTATAATCCCAAATATAGAGGACAGGTAGCAATAATAATCAAAGCATCGACAATCCAAAGTTGCGTAACTTTCAACTTGGAAGCTGCTGTAGTGTTCCCTTAATTTTATGCAGAATTACAATAGAAGTATAATACAGCATGAATTGCAAGAAAAACTGGTGTTTGCTCCCTTGTGTAATTCACTAATATCAACAGCCAAGAAGGGCCTGGCAGAAACCTGCAATTGAGAAGGCTTGGCTCCCAAATATTCATGTACATAGCAGGCATTGTCTTATAATTTTAAAAAATAAAATAATATGCAAAGTAAATAAGCAATAAGTGGATAATCAGGAATCGAAAATATGAGTAATAAAACTTATTTGTCCAATACACATTCATATTTTAAAAATATTACTGTTCAACTGTTTTTGTTTCATTCGCTTCATTGTGGATGGCAGTACTGAATCTTAAATTAAGAAGCACATCTGGAGATGCCTCTGACAAAGAAAAAAGAAAGGCTCTACCATACAACAGCATACCCTTCAGCTGCACCCTGCCACACTTCCTTCTCGCTGCACCTGATGATGACCTTGTCCTGTGACACCCTATAGGCCTGCTTGGTTCCTGGATCATGATCCTGCTCATTCATCACAACCACCTCCACACCTCCACTTGCCCCACTCTTCAATTCCAGTACATCTTCCCCGGCCTCTACCACCCAGCCCTCTGCAGCCATTATATCATCTGTCAACTTTGAGTTTTCAATCCTCACGCTCTGACCATTGATGTTTCGCAACAGTTCACTTGACTTCCAGAGCCTGACTCCGGGCTGTGCTGCCTCATTTCCGTGAGTCGCTCTCACTGTAAAGTTCCTGTTTGACCATTGGCACTCCTTCCTCTCTACAGGTCTGCTCTGGTTGTTCCTAGCAGGTGGTCGCAGCTGAGCACTGACTGGCCTCATCATAATGAAGTTATCTGTGCTCGATAACACAGCACCGGAATTGTCAAGGCAGAAATCATCCAGCACTCGACACAAATAACAACAACAGTCCTGCTTGCAAGACATAGTTCACAGCATCAAAATGATACACAAACACCATAATTTAACACGCATTTAGACTTCTTTTCACGTTATACTGACGACACAAAGCAAATAAGCACAGCCACCTTCACAATTTTTTCTTGTTGCTTGCAATGATGTCAGTAAGGGTTTGCTGTTAGAAGATTCTCTGTCTTGCACCATGGTATGCAAGTACATATAAAAGGTCATATGGAACTAAAATATCACAGCATATTTTACTTTTCTTTTGTTAGAAGTCAGCAAAGGTTCATATAATTCTTAGGAAACACAACAAGGTAATGTACACCAAAAGGTTTTACAAAATGAGCTGAGCACTACGGCAAAGAAGGCGTGACTCTCTGAATCATTGATGTCTCATTTATGGCATGAAATGGTAATTTTCTCAAGTTATCTTCTCAACATAACCACTAACATACCAATCTTGCTAGAACACTGTCTATGGTATCTATCAGTTTCAGCTAATTTGTTCACTTTTATGTTGTCTACTAACATTGTCTTAAAGTTAATAAAAATTGTCTGTCTGCACGGTACACTATCATATTTTTAAAACCCTGCATATTGCACATATTGGCACACAGTTCATGCAGTTTCATTTGTTATCATGATGGCTTATTGTCTTGCTGTCCGTACACCTTTCTCATTCACAACACATTCTATGTACTTCGTAATCCTCCTTTTGTCTACCTTCAAAGTATGTAACACCCAATAAAAAATTATCCCCGCCATTGAACTTCAGAAATTGACCGAGTTTTCATTGTTGTGATATATCATCTGCTGTGTGCGTGTAGCCTGTTAAAAGTTAGTTAATCAATTAGTCAAGAAATGTTCTGCCTTTTATACAACCTAATGACTCGTTACCAAATTTACTATAGCACAGCACGAGATATTATCCTGAGACAGATTAATCTGTTCCACCCCAGTTAAGATCCATTTTACATCACTCTCCAACCTATGCCTATTGTGAATAAGGAACTTATTATCATTTCATGCTAGATAAAGCATTGTAAAATAGAACAACAGATAAAATTAACATAAGATAAAAGTGCTACAAGTACACAAACAAAAGTAATAGGCATCTACACTCTATATATAGTAGACAAACATTGGTCGGTGTTATTGTTCAAAAAACACTATTTGCCCTACACTAAATTGCATTATATTAATATTCTTAAATTAAGCAAAAATAAGTAACGGTTTTGGTTTTTATTCTCCATAAGCATTCACTGTGTTCTTGAAAACTTCGTTCAATTAAAAAATGTAATAAAAAATATTATTTCCTGTCATTCTGTACAGAGCTGATAAATTGTCTATATGTGATCAATAGATTGAATACTGTTAGACTTTTCAATAAAAATGTGTTCTTTTATGTACTATTTTAGATTTTCCCACCATTCTTGGCAGGCAATTTACTAGTTTTTAATGTGCCCTTTGTACACCTTTAACATATCGCATGGTTTAGAAACATGTAAACACAAAATCTACAATTAAGACAGAAAGCACAGCCTTCTCTGATGAATTTATTTCTGAAAATATGACGCCCAAGGAAAAAATATTACTATTTTCTTTCATGTTTGAAATATGTCCACAAAAATAAAATTACCGATATGTTTATTGACAAAAAATATTTAACTATACTGTACAAAATATTGTTTATACAAGTGTAATGATTATTTTCCCAAGTTATCTCTGGTCACTTTCCGTTGTCTGCATCAATTTCCATCGTTTGTAAAAATTAACGTATTCACAATCACGACACACAAATGACACTGCAGCTAGTGTGGGAAATTAATGACAAATGGTACAGAAGCACAAAAGTTCTAATCTTCCTACGCAGTCTAGAAGAAAAATATATAAATGTAGCTTATGAAAGTACAGTAGTCCATTATTCTCACGGCCTAAATTACCTTGGTTTTATAATGAGATAGAAGAAAAAGTAATGTCCCACATTAACTCAGTTTATTTCTTTCAAAAGTCAACCTCATAAATCTTGAAATAATGACTTTTATCATTTATACCCTCCTTGTTCACGTTTTGTAACCAACGGAAGTAGTCAATGAAATATTTTATGACTTTCGTAACAGTGGTTGAATTTATGTTTTAAATGTAAGCTGATTTAAAATGCAAGGTAAATGCGTGATAGTATTAATCAGGAAGAACAAAAAAGTCCTCTCAGAATTACAGACTTGAAAATATATATTTAGTATGACCAGAATAATGAAAGGAAAAATATACCTGATCACACAGCGTATTGTAGAAGAAATAGTCGCAACTAGGTGAGCAACTAATTCTCTAGTAAAGTGTTTATTACCACTAATGCCATCATATCATGATTCTGAGCTAGTTCCATCAAACTCCTACCTCACACCCTATATATCCAACAATAAGATCCATCTGAATGTTATCCTCCCACCTCAATACGTTTTTATAAGGTCACCTTGATTGGCTACTCAGTTTCCTGGTAAAAATATAACAGTAAAAAATGTCTTCTAGAATATTTTATAAGCAATATAGAAAATACAACAGTCAATTAGCTATACCCCTAATTCCTGCCTCTCTCTACCCAGTAAAATTATACTGTAAAAAGTAAAGTAAAAAAACTGAGATTTTAAAATTTAATTCATAAAGTGGCAGCCTTGATTCACTACGATATCCCAAGAGCACCAAAATTCCACTTAGTTTTCTATTCCAAACTGAGTTAATAAATTTTCAAAGCAAAAAGAAACAGCACTACACATCCACTTATATAATTCACACAAAATTCTTTGCATAACGATCCTGAAACATTATAGATAAAATCAAATGATACGGTGGCTGGTGTAACAGCAAACAACAATCACTTATTGGTGTAACACAATCCACAACCACTTGATCACACACTGCCTGCCCTGCAGCTCTACCTTGAGAGCGTTTCTGTGACTATGTGAATGAGACCAGAAGAGGTGGGAGCCCCACTACAATTCCCATCATTGTAAGTAACTGCTTCCTTTCACTGTTAATTATTAAACATACTGCACTGCAGACGGAATGACAATAAATCACTGTACAAGAATATCTCAAAATTACGGCAAATTATGTGCATTCGTGGAATTCGGCAACAATTCAGACCTATAACCTTAAAAACAATGAAACTAAACATATAGCATATCATCCTAAATACATTTGGCACAATGAAGGATCCAAGCAATGCTAAATGTGATGAGCTGATAGGATCCTATATCAAGATAAAACTGGGTCCCTGAAGGCCCAATATATCTCATGATTCTTGATAAGCTTACTTTAATATTTTTCTTTGAATAGAAGGGTGCTCTCAAAACTAAACGTTGCAAAATTCGCACATAGCCATTATGTCTGTCCACATGCAAGAACCGCTGAAGGAATTTTCACGAAATTTGGTATTTTGGGTTTTCTTACAATTTGTGGCCACATGTCAATTTCAATTAAAATCAGACGACAAAGTGGGCACTTCACATGATGACCTGCATTTAAATTTTCACGTGGAACTAGCTTCAAACAAGCGCCAAACGCCCTGCCAAAGCACCACATGCAGAACTCCCGCGATTACGTCATCACACAGGCGCAAAAAGTCCCGTCCAAAGCAGAGGTCACTGAGCTCAAACACCTCTGGCGTCACTGTTGCCATTCACAAAGAAAAAGGGGCATTACTATAATTATAAAAAGCATCCTCGAATTAAAAATCTGCAGGCATAACATTGACAAAGCACCGGGAATGTCATCCTATAAGCGCATTTCCCAGGTTATTCTAATTTATATTAGATTTCTCCATTAAGAGTCTACTTTAAGAGTTCTGCCAACCTTCTTCTTGTAACATGTACATGTCACACACATTGTAATTCGGCTTTCCTGGAATTTTCAGAGTGACTGAATGACTTAGGCGGGGAGGGAGAGGAAGCCGGTATAAAATCTGGCGGTGGGAAATGAACGAGGTGAATGGCATAATTGGCTGAGCACAAGAGCAGAGAGTTGTCCACTGAAGAATCACCACGTGGTTCTGGAAACGAGGTAAAGCCAGGATTTGCTTTGATTCTATCTGCCTGTAAGATTCAACATATGAGATCGAATTTTTCCAATCAGGTGAACGCCAATTTCTCATTCTCCTGCATCACATAGATGCCCCCCTCACAGTCCCTCCACCCCTCTGCTCGTCTAATCAAATCAAATACCACCCTGTAAGCTCCCACCGCCAAATTTTTATAAGGACTTCCTAACCCATCCCCAGACAATGCACGGTGTTCCGAACAGGGACCTACGACGACTACCAAATCACATTGTATTCCTCCTATTCAGCCTTGAAGATGTAAACAGCTTGTTTCTCCGAAACGCTAGCATATCACAATGAGTGTCTGCAAGGAGCCAAAAACCAGATCATCGACATCCTCACCGCCATGAAAACTTCATATCTCAGGTCGAGCTATCATCGCTGCATGCGGACGACATGGCTCTCGCAGCCTCGTCCCGGAAACCACGGCTTCGTCTCGTCACTTATCTCGAGGTATTTCACCAGAACTCAGCACTGACTAAGAGACTGAAGGATTACTATCAGCGTCTTAAAGAGCACCGCAGTGCCGTCTGCTAATCCTGCGAGACGCATTCAAAGGCCGAGAACATTCCAATTTTTCGGAGAGCCAATACAGTGGGTCAAAACGGCACGGGATACGCAGCTGGTGTGGTCAAAACAGCTCAACCAGGTCGAAAGAAAACAACTCAAAGACTGAGCGTGCCAGACCCTCTCCTTAACAGCAACTCGCTCATTTGTCTTTTGACGGATTACGTGTTCCACCTGGAAATCCGCTGATCGCAAAAATTTCCGGAAGCTGAAAGACCTGAAATCCAAATGTCTTCGCTCTACGATTAACGTACCTTGGTTCGTCAGTTACAGCCAAATTCAGAAGCATTAAGAGATCCCATTCTTCGCCGACCGCATCAGAGCAATGACTGAGAGCTTGGACTCAAAGTTTGCTGATGTGGGGAGTCCTGCAACTTGGAAGGCACTTGTGCCGGCCAAGGGTGCCTGGCGTCACCCAAGATTTACCAAGAATGACAGACGTTCAGCAGACCAGTCGAGGACGCCCCTAAAATTTTATATCGCGTTTCGTGTCTAACATTATTCGCATAACCTGAATAACATCTTCCGCTTTTTCTCAGTTGTAAGTAAAATGCCAGGTTATAGTTAAAAGGGGCGAGGACCGCTTCCCTCAGTCATGGAGGCCTTCTGCAAAAGTCCTTCTTCAGTTAATACGAACCCAACCTTTCCAGGTTAAACCCTCAGACATCCACCGAACCGAAGTTCGCTTACCAAAAGACAAATTTTTAGCGTCCTCCAAAGAGCAGCAACATTCCGGAATTCCTTAGTGAGAACACGCGAAGGCCATCAGCCAAGACAGCAAAACTCGTCAGGGTGAGCACGTCGTCCCGGTTGCCGCTGACAGGCGCTGTTCTCCAATTCCAGCTTTGAGTCTGAGTTTGAGCATAAGAATTGTCGTCGTCTTCTTGAGCACCGCGCAAAGCTCTCAGTCAGCTTCTTCGTCGATTGGGTGGCCTCACCCTCACGGACACTGCAATATTCGACGAAACGCCGGAAGACTTTTTACTCAGATTATCCTGGAAATCCGAAGCATGTCCCCTCCCACAAGTTGTGAATTTCTTAAAACCTGGTGATTATAGATATTTTAGTATGAAGTCAAAATTGCATTATCGACGAAATTACGAGCAGGTTCGACTCCGGAATGCTTGCTAGCGTAAAATTCAGAATCCGGCTCTTATCTAAAAGGTACAGATTACGACATGCGCAACTAAAAATTTACCCGCTGTTCTGCACACGTCGATGGAAAAACCCAGTTTGAGACTGAGAACACAGTGCTGAGGAGAAAGTTCTCACCCAAGAAGGACAAAGCGATAGGAGCCGTGCTCTTCACCATGTAGAGACACGTCGGACATGAAGTGAGCATGGGGGAGACGTGAAATGCGTATGAAATGTTGGTTGTGAAGTGTGAAGGGACGAGACCACAAAGATGATAGAAAAATATTAAATTTAAATTAGGGAAATAAGGTGGGTGGTTGTTCGCTTGCTCAGGATGCGGACTGGTGGCGGGCTCTTGTGAACGCGGTAACGAACCTTTGGCTTCCATAAAAGAAGGGAAATCTCTGACTAGCTGTGTACTGTCGCTCCTTTCAGTGAGGGATTCTATTCATTACGCACTACTCTGCAGCCATAATTAAATGTATTAACGCTTTTCCGAAGAACGCATTTATTACATTCATGCCATTTTAGGCTGCGTAAGATATTAGTTCGGCATTTTTATCTTATTTTATTCCACAGTTACGTAAGTAATGTAACACGTAAGTTCGTGTTCCGGTATTATAATTTATTACATTTATTTAGCTCCATACAAAAAAAAGTAATTTCTTCGCTTGTACATCCTTCAGGCGCATAAACTACGTGTCAGCAGTTGTCACATTATCTCTGTCTACTTTCAAGGATAATACAAATATCCTTTCACTTGTTTGTGCACGACTTGAGACTTCGTATCTCCAGTTCTTATCTATAAAATAACTAACTACGACTTTCTCTTTGTCCGATCCACAGTAAATGAAGGCGCAATCATTGATGTAACATTAACACACATCTTAAGGAGCAGGGTGTGAAGGTTTCGACTGCATTTGTGTGGTGTAGGTTCAGTATCGTTAGCTGGCTCTTGTGAACACGGTAATGCGCCTTTGGGTTGCATAAAGGACATTTCGAATATCAGCTTCTCATAGAGGACCTTGCCTCGTGGAATTATATATTTTCTTACTTGCATAAAAGACATTTAGGTTTTTCTATACTCATCAATGGAACCATACGTAGTTCATAATAAACAATAATAATTACAACTTATACAATTATGTTTATTTTCTTTCATATTTATAGTCTGTTTAACGATGCTGCCTGTAGCCCTGCGTGTGTAGCGTTCGTATGGATCTTGCGCGGCTGGTTAGGATTCCCACGGAAGGATTCCCTGGCAGAGGGATTCCCCACCCGTCACTTCGGTGCGTAAAACATCCACGCACATTTTCACATTCGTTTTTACAATCCAAACCAACAGTGGACCAATTAAACAAACGAGAGTATAACTTCCCAGCATAAAATTTAATGAAAATCTCATAATCGATAATCGATACTCGACTTGTTGCGTGCATGCAGACATGCAGACATGGCGGAGCAAAGGGCCGCCATTTCGCCTTAAAATGCTGTATTTCTTACATATTAAGTGTAACACTAGGGATTCCAAGTGCGGGTCCCAACATTCCAGCACAATTGCCATGGAAACCAGAGCACTCTTGTCTCCAGCCCCATTCCCACAGCTAAGGAAAGCTGAATACACTACTACATCAATGTCACACGTCAATTAGAGGCACGGAGCATGTGCGTTGCTTGACTTTACTTCCATTATAACATGCAAACCATACAGGAAATGGAAGGGGGTAAGTAATACCTACAAGTCTAAAGATATTACTGACTACCTAATGCTCATGTAATAGACCCCGGATGTTCGCCACCGCTAATACAAACGTCCGCCACTGACAATATTGCTGCTGGGAGTGACGTCCACCTTTCACGGTCACAGTACTTTTCGGCCTCAGCAGATACAATCAAACCCCGATACAGCGCCCCCCTATACGAGGTGCGATCGAAAGGTTTCCAGACTGCGCGTATAAAAACCCGTACACTTATCTCAGGTATTAAATTCATCCATCACCCTCGAAGTAGTTCCCCTGGGAGTGAACACAACGATCCCAGCGCCGCTGCCAAGCCTGGAAGCATCCCTGGAAATCTTTCTTTGCCAGCCTGTCAAGCACCATCTGCGATTCTGCCTGAATCTCTTCTATCGTCTCAAATCTCCTTACCTTTAGCTGAATTTTCATCTTTGGGAAGAGGAAGAAGTCACACAGAGCTTAGAAAGGAAGTTGGGGTCGGATCTTGCAAGATCTTTGAGCTCCTGACAAACGAAAAGTCGATTCTGCTTCTGGTCCTCAGACAGGAACCTTGGCACAAACTTGGCTGCGATGCGTCGCATGTGGAGTTCTTCCTTTAGAATCAGCTGACAGGCCCCATAGCCTATCCCAACAATGTCGCACAAGTCGTACAAGTGATGGTACGACGTCGATCTTCGTAACAGTTTCGGGCGTTGTGCTCGAAGATGGTCGTCCAGAACGCTCGTCATCATCGACAGAGGTTCGGCCATTTTTAAAACGTGAATGCCACACAAAAGTTTGTGCACGACCCATTGCGGACTCCCCAAATGCTTGCTTTAGCATTTCATAGGTTTCCGTAGCCGTTTTGGCGAGTCTTTGGCAAAATTTGATGCACACGCCATTCCGAAATCGCAGGAGGGTCGGTGTAATGCACTACCAAAACGCCCGTAACTAAGAAACAAATGCTAATTCGATGATGCCGGCTGGCACACTGATTCACTATGAATGTAGGCCGCGCCCCCTAGCGGCAGAAGCTCGTGCTACATCCGGTTCGCCCTCTATTGACACAGTCTTGAAACTTTCCGATCGCACCTCGTATCACCGCCCTAGTATTGCATCCAAAAGAAGGGCTCAGAACAGCAACTCCCGATGTAATTGCAAGGGGAATACCGCGGTAAAACATAACATCCTCTAACCGGACTCCTCCTACATCCGTGGCGAAACAAATATACCGTGAAGCTTTAAAATGAAGTTCGATACAGCGCCATGCTATCCGTGTCTGTATGACTGAACCTAGCCTACTGGTAGAAGCGTTGATACGGAATCAACAAGTTTACCCAGAGATAAGTTGCGTACAGTAACAGATAAAATCCCAAGAATTCTGTTAGGAGAATTTGCTGATTCACTCCTGTTTTATGTTCGGTGGGGCTAGAGGGCTGTTCTCTACCGGAAGTGATTCTGGACATTTCCTGTGAGTCACTAACACATCATAGGGAGACAATCGTCACGCTGATCACAGAGAAAGGAAATTAAGTACAAAATATTTATGGGTGATTGTCGCACGAATTCAAGTTTCTTTTCCGGGAACTGTGAATATTCGTAGATGGTGTTCTGAGTTATTTAACGGCGTAATATTTTCGCTGTATGCTAACTAAGCCTTGGAGATGGAGGCACTACGTCCATTCGAAACGTCATACGGCCAAAAAAAAACTACACGGTGCAACAAACCATCTGTACTTCGATCTGCTTAGGTCGAATTTGTAAAAGGCTCTTGTGTTATAAGGGACGACCATGACAGAAAATAGCTGGCAACACTCAATATATCCACACCATATTTAAATCTGTCAATATTGCCAACGACTTAAGTCCAAAGGATATATAGGACTTCATTTCAGACATCGTTCAGAAAATCGTTTCAAACCCTCACATTTTAAAGCGTGCAGGCTTACAAATGTATTTCTGCTGTTATTAACCACGCCATTGATAGGCATCTAAGCTGACGAGGACAACATAACTACAGACAAACAACATGGCGTGCGAGCGACCGTTCCGAGCGGCTCGTAACGGTCGCGGTGGAAGTTTCAGTCAGGCTTTGTTGAAAAATTTATCTCGAGTTTCAGTTAAGAAAGTAGTTCTCGTCACGCAGTCCAGTCCAGAGTCAAATGCGTCTTGTATCACTTGTAGAATCGCCACCAATTTCTTAGAATTGTGACGTCACCCACACGCCAAGCTGTTTGACCATCTTGCCTCTCCATGAACCTGGACTCTTCAGCACCGCTAACATCAAAGGCCAACACGACTTTTAGAAACTTCATTCAACACACATAATCACAATAGGTTTTTTTCTTCTTCTGAGATGTAACTTATGCTATCCAGTCACGTGCTTCTCACTTTTCCAAATGATGTTTTTAGTGGCAACCTCCAACTGCGTACCTCTGAGGCACTCTCAAGTCCAAATGCCTTAGCCCACCCACTATGAACAAATCGGATTAATTCTCTGGTAACAGAACCCGAAAATTAAACAGCGCTAAAACCAAAACGTGCCAATGAACGCAGTCCCAAGTTAGAATATTGTAAACTGCCAGCATTACAAGAATCAATTCTTTTATCGACAGGATTTGAGGTTTTGAGGGGCGTGAGTCTGAAGATAGTTGTCTTCTGGGCTTCTGCGTCATGTAGTCTGGTCGAAGTTTACCGATAAGATCGCCCTGATGCTGGAGGCAGCAAGCACCTCTGAATCGTCGGCAAACATCCACCACACTACAAGGTGCAACAACCCAGAAGACAGACATATTCAATTCTTTTATCCTTCATACATGTTCCAGAGATACGAGGTCCTTACGACGACAAAGATGTCCATGTTGTTCTTATGGTAAGTAACGTCGTGTAAACACGAATGTAGAAACTCTGAAAAAAAAACCCAGAAAACCAACGTCGACTTGTTCCAAGGCGTGCGTCCAATTCTGTAAGTTCTGTAAGATGTGCAGACATATTACAAACGCCTACTAGCCCTGGGCCCAAATTACCCCGCGGAGGACCGCCCTCTATTACCTGCAACTGATAATTTAATCTCTTCCTATATTTTATCAACATGAATTTTCTCATGTAGCCAATTTCACATTCCT